GCAACCACAGATTCCTGGGCTCCAGACCTAGAGACTCTGATTCTGTAGGTCTGGGACAGGGTCCAGCAAAGTACCGGGGATCTGATGATTAGTTAGGTTGGGGTGAGGGGGAGGTAGAATCAAGCAATCACAGCTGCTTCTTGCACTGAGATGGCTTCCTCTCATGCTCTCAAAGAATTTACCCAAGAACATCATGTTCACTTTCTTATTTAGAAGCTTTCACTGATTCTTCACTGCCTGCAGGATAAAGCCCAAACTTCTTGGTGCGGTTTTGTAGAACCTCGCTAACCTCTCCAGCCTGACTGCATGCTACTCTGCCTGAGTTGGGCAGTTCTCGCCTCTGGGTCTTTTTTTGTTTAGATATTTTCTCCCACCATCCCTTCTAAAGGAACTGCTACTCAACCTTGAAACATTAGTTCTGAGAAGCCTTCTCTAGACTATTATTTCTGTGCATCTCCCATACCAAGTATCTATAATAATCATGACTGCCACTTGTGCTAAGTGCTTGACATACAGTACTTGCTGCCCTAAAGGGAACCTGGCATCACTGTCACACATGTGAGAAAACAAACTAAAAAGGCTAAAACTCTTCCAAAGGCCATTTACTAGGATCTAAGACTTGAACCTTCACTCAGAGAAAGTGATGCTCTTCTAGCCTAACTACAATTAATATATACATGTGGGCAGGGACTGATTCACTTTGGCATCCCCAGCTAGCCCAGGGCCTGGCACAGATCAGGTGTCCATTAGTGTCTGCAGAATAAATTAACACCAGGTCAGGCGAGAGGGAGACTGGGTGTGGTGTGTGTGTAATGGGCCTAAATGAATGAATGATGGCCAGCCTGGCCCAGCAGTAGAGGCTGGTAAGAACAAAGTGGAAGAAACCTCACTTTTACTTCTTTTATTATACTTTGGTTTAACAGCCACTTATAGAGCACATAAGGACCGTGTACAATAAATACCCCACAAATAAAACATAGCCCTTGCTCTCAAAATTTCTAGGTTCAGGATATAAAGGTGTCAGGATATTAACAGGCTATTTAATACCAGATATTAAGTTTATAGATCTGGGACATTTTAAGAAAATTAAAAATAAAAACTTTAAAAAAAAATAAAAACTTTTTAAGGAATTTAAAAATTAAACAATCTTAACAAGTAAGTCTTCATCTTCAAAGGCCTTTTAGCATTTCTACTTTAGAGAATCTCTACTGGCTTACAGAGAAGAACCAGAGGTGGCAGGGTTTCCCCACCCCCCACCGCCCATATCATTACCTACTCCTTGCAATGAAAGTGTCTAGACTGGGTTTGCAGTGATTTTGAGAGAGGTCCCTGGTTAGAGGAACTATCTTATTCATCTGTGTGCCCAAAATAAAGGTCATAATGCTTGCTGAGTGGATTAAACATAATGAGATGGTTTCAATAAAGATATTGACTTATCCTCTGCTCCAGTCTCTTGAGGGAGCAGGTTTAACTCTGAGTAGTGGGGAACCAGGTCTCTAGAGTCTCTTTAAACTCTCTTTAAACTGGGCTGGGCAGGTCTCAGCAGGTGCTGTAGAGAGATGAGAGATGGGAAGGGCAAGATGAGCTCAACCAGCTCCAACTGCTGGTTTACAGTCTGGCAAGTCTCCTGAGGGTTTACTGAGTATGCACCTGGACTGCAGGCTGAGTGGTCCAAGAGAGGCCAAAAGACAGACAGCAGAACTGGCAGGTGAGAACCCTCAGACTCTGCATGGCCATCTGGCACAGTTCCAACTATCTCTGACTCCTGCTCTTGCCTCAGGAGCCTCGATGTACTTGGTGTTACGTGGGTTGCTCCACATTCTCTTATGACATTGCTGATGCGGCTTAGAAGAGGAAAAAACATGCCCAGAGTCACAAAGTTAGAGACTGAGCTTGGGAGTTCACCACAAGTCTGGAATACTAAACACTATTTCTCACTACTGCCTTATTCAGCTGCTTTGTAAGTTGTTTTTCTTTCTTTTTTTTTTCCCCCTTTGTTAATAAGGTAGTAACTGTTTTAGTCTTATTTAGTAAATGAGGATATGGATTCTTTAAGTAAACAGATCAATGCAGTTTAGTGACCTCAAACAACTGGAAGGGCTTTTGGGATCCCAAATAGGCCAGCTTAAGGTTCTGCATTTAAATGTGAACAAGTTATGCAAATGAGCAAAGGGGACAGGATAGAACCAGAGTGGCCTTCAAACCTGAACTCAGGAATCCTGGCTCTTCCAGCCTAACTCAATGACTGTATACGTGTTCCCTGGACCATGAGCCCTTTGTGGGCAGGGACCACATCTGATTCACTTCTGCATTCCCAGCTAACCCAGGGCCTGGCACAGATCAGGTGTCCTTATTAGGGGCAGACACTATTCAGAGACTGCAGATCACGGTCTTACAGAAATGTGGGCCCAGCAACACCAGATTTTTAGAGTTTTAAGAAATGGCACAAATCCATTTTGTGGGAATCTTATGGTTTTTAAAAAATTGGCTTAAATTAAAATAAAAATAAAACAATGTGTGACGTGGGGCTTCAGAACCTGTCTGAGGACTACAAGTGGTCCTATTTGCTGTCTTTGGCTTCAGTTTGGCATGCAACACAGAGTTTCACCTTACATGCCCACTCTGTGTACACAGAGAATTTTAAGTGACCCCAACCCTTTCAGCAGGTGCTTTTCACCAGGGCACAAAAGCCTGCTTCTGGATTAAGAAACCCCCTCCCCAGCAAAAAAGTGAGGTACAATCAGAAGAGAGTTCGTCAGTTTGTTTCACCTCTTCGTGGCTATATTTTTAAAAAAGGCCTTGTTAAACCCTGCACAGTACACAAAAGAGTATCCTTTTTTGGAGGGGCAGAAGGCACCTGAGACCTATAGTGGGAGTTATATGAGCAAATGTTTTCTTGCTCTGAGTTTCTGTTTCTTCATCTGAAAAATGGGGAAATAGTATTTATATCTTTCAGTTCATTCATTAAACATCTGTTAACCACAGGCATAGGGGTACAAGAGTGACTGACGTGGTTCCTGCACTCTCAGAGTTTATGCAGCAAAAGCAGACCAATAATTAAACCAATAGTTAACTCATCACAACTGTATTAAAAACTGAGGAAAGAACAGGGGTGGTGGGAAGATTAGAAGTATGGTATATAAAACATCTGGCACTAATAAATTAATGAACTGGCAGGTCAAGCAGTGGAACAGATAATGAAGCTTACAGTTCTTAGGAAAGCTGTGTCCTAAATAAAAACTAAATAGTTAAGCCATTATCCAAAATTCTGGCCATGAATATTATAACTTAGCTAAGTGGAAGGGGACCTTAAAGTGTTGCTGGTGAGTGAGAAGGAGAGAAGACAACAGCTCCCCTGGCTCTCCCTACCTTAATGCTCCCCTTTTGGATAATAGCATTCCCAGGGTGGCCCAGAGAAGAGAAAGAGGAAAGCTAGAGGGGGAAGCAGGTTCAGGGTCTAAAGTTAGACCAGGCAAGGGTGGGGTCCAACCTGCGGAGCTGATTCCCAGGGTAGGGGCTCAGGGTGAAGGTGGGCCTTCTGACACTCAATAAGTGGTGACATTTTCATTAATTAAAAATCTTATTGTGATCTGAAACACAAAGGACACCAGCATCAAAACTGGGTTACAATAAGCACAGGTCCTCAACGGATTCATTCTCTCTCATTCACCTAGTTATTTCTACTCAGTGTCAGCAAGGCCCAGGGCTAGGCATGGAGGATAAGAGATAGATGACATAGTCCGTGCCCCTGTGGAGTTCACAGTGCAGTGCAGGGAACAGATACATCAACAGAATGTCTCCATGAAGAATGGGGAGTGCTACCAAAGGAGGTACAGGGGGCTATGGGCACAAAGGGGGCACCTGACGCAATTGGGAAGGCAGGGAAGGCTTTCTGGGAATGGTTCCCCAAATGGCATCCCCACTCACATGCACAATTCCAGAGATTCTACTAGAAGGCTGTCAAGAGCCATGCCTTCTGGCTGCACCAGCCTCCCAGAGTCCCCTGCTGCCCGATGCAGTGTCTGCAGAGCCAAACGCATCTTCCGCCACGCCTCATCCTCATCCGGCGCTGCATCCGACCCTCCAAGACTCCTGCAGGAGCCTGCCTTCCTTGGCAGGCTCAGCCAAAAGACCAACTCAAAACTCTTTTGTCAGAGCAAGCTTAGGGCGAGCCACCCAGCCCCAGGTGCCACAACCCTCCCAGAGCAACTGTGGCTCGTGCCACCCCGGGCTCTCAGGAACACTGGCAGGGTACCTCCCATTATCTCCTTTGCTCAAAAGAAAGTGACCTTCTTCCAGGTGGGAAGCTGGAAGCTTTGCTGAGTCCTGCTACTGCTCACTCTTAGCAGGATTCACCAAAGCCGGGGATCTGAGGGTTGGGGTAGGCCACCTTGTGGGGTCAGAGGTAGAGAGGGAAGAAAGGGCAGGCTTTGCTAGTTTATGCTTCAGCGCAGGAGCCCCACCAAATAAGTCTTCTGGGCGGCCTGGCTGGCTGCTCCAACTGCTCGGCTGGGCAGGGAGAAGCGGGAGGCCACTGGAGACATATGCTGGGGGCACACAGCTGCTCAGGGGGCAGCGGCTGCAGGCAGTGAGGGGAAAGGGTGGGGCTCCCGGGGTGGGGAGAGGGAAGAGGCTGCAGCCTTCCAGGGCACAGCGCCCCAGCCTGTGGGTAGGGGGAGCAGGTGGGCCCAGGGGGAGGTGAAGGGCAGAGAGCTGAGCTGTGGCCTCAGGAGCAGAGCCCAGTCCCAGTGTGGATATACGACCAGAAGGTTTAAGCCCTTGCTCCAGCCCGGAGGCGGCGGGAGAGGGCAGGCAGCCCTGGTCACAGGACAGGACGGACCACACTTCGGCTTGGAGAAGGGTCCAGCCTCCACTCCCGCCTCAGGGGAGATAGCCTCAGCCCCAGCCAGTGGAGGATGGTCCATCCCCAAGCTCACCCCGGCCCCGCTCCCGGGAGATGAAAGTGCCGGAGCAGCCGGACTCCCCTAGCTCGCTCCTACCTGCGGTCCAGGCGCCAACTTGGGCTCGTCCTCCTCCCTGGGGCCGTCGCGGTCCGGTTCCACGGGAGCCTCCGAGGGCCCTGCACCCGCTCCCGCTTCCAGGCTCGGCGGCGGCGGGGGCTCGGGAGCCTGGGGCTTCTGCTGCCCCGCGGCCCGCATCCGCTCGCGCCGGCCCGCGCCGCCGCTCGGCCTGCTCCGCCTCCGAGTCATGCTGCTGCTCGCGCCGCTCCCTCGCTCCACTCGCGCCGCCGCCACTGCCGCCGCCGCCGCTCCCCTCGCAGGACAACAGCCAATATGGCGGCGCCCGGCTCCCCCCCGCTGCTGCTGCCAGCAGGTCATAGGGCGCGGCGTCCGCGCCGCCGCACTAGCCCCCGAGGCTGCCTGCGCCATTTTGAATAAGGTCACCTGAGTTCTGCGAGTGTGAGAACCTGGTGCGACCTGCGCCCGGTAAGGGTGGTCGCTGTGGTAACCATGCCGCCCGGCCCTGGGCGCTTAATAATAGTTAAGTGGATGAATGAATGAATGAATTTCTAGAGTACTTTCACACCCACCATCCGACTCCTCGCACTCACCCGGCGAGGCAGGTACGGTTATTCCCATTTTGCAGGGGAGAAAATCAAGGCTTACAGAAGGCGAAGCCGGGACTCAACATCAGCAAGCCAAAACTCAAGGTCTCGTGGACGGCAGGAAGTGAAAGAGATGAAGTAATGGTCTAGGTCTTTATTTGCAACGTATGGTCGACTGGGGAGTCTAGCGTTCTGTGCTTGGGACAGCAGAGCTCAGACTCCGCTCCTGCCCCAGTCTGGTGGACAAAGTGGACCGTTAAATACGCGGTTACAACCAGTGTGATGAAGATGAGATGACTGGGGCAAATACTAGGTCAGCATTTCCGCAAAAGTTGTATGTACAGGAAAGGATTTTGAGTGGTACACAAAGGAACGTTTAAAAAATGTGATAATTACGTATTTAGTTGTTAAAATGAGTATCCCCATCTCTTTTTTTTGAATATAGGAGACATGCACATGGTACAAATTTTAGAAAAAGTTTTGAGCGCAATCTCTCATACCAGGACCATTGGTACCCTGAAACTATATGGCTATTATATGTACAGTTGCTATTGATATCATCAACAGGGCAGAATTATGACATTAGCCAAATTAATGGGAACAAGGGCTATTTTGAGAGGAAGGGCTACATGGCCCTGGAGCTTTCCTTAACTAGCAAGAACGTAAATGAAAAATACTTTATCTCTTTTTAGGGATTAGTGCCATCATCAAAGATTTAAAGAATTCAGAGTGATTCTTGCTACATGAACATTACTTCTTAGTTTGGCCAGGATAGAAGATAGATAGTATTTTTTCCCATTTATTTTTATTGTGTTAAAATGTGCCTAATATAAAACTTAAAGATCTTAACCATTTTTAAGCGTATAGTTCAGTGGCATTAAGTACATTCTCGTCAGGTGCAACCATTACTGCCAACCCTCTCCAGAGCTCTTTTCATCTTGCAAAACTGAAACTCTGTACTGATTAAGTAACTCCTCATTCTCCTTTCCCACAGCCACTGGCAACCACCATTCTACTTAAAAAAACAAAACAACAACAAAAACCAAAAAATGAAACAACCCAAACAAAACCCAACCTCTTTTTCTTCATACCCAGCTTCTGGTAACCACTATTCTTTCTGTTACTATGAGTTCAGCTTTTTTTTTTTTTTTTAACATATTCCACATATAAGTGAGATCATGCAATATTTGTCTTTTTGTGATGGGCTTATTTCACTTTGCAGAGTGTCCTCCAGAGTCATTCATGTTGTTGGAAATGGCAGGATTTTCTTCTTTTTTAAGGATGAATATATTCCTTTATATATATTGTACACATACACTATGTATGTAATATATGTTCTTATACAGACGTATTTTATATATATTTCTTTCACATATATATGTATACGTGTGCGTGCGTGTGTGTGTGTGTGTATGCCACATTCTCTTTATTGATGGAGAAGATAGATGGTCCTGAAGAATGACAGAGCATTCTGGCAAACTTACTCTGGTAAGAACCCCAGTTATGGGCACTTTCTCAGAGTGGTCATTCTTGGAACATATGGGTGCAGTTGTTGGCCTCTAATCGACAACTATGGGTCTAGTAAATGCTTTTCCTTCTATACCAAATTTTAGAAATAGTTTGTGTTCCTCTAGTAAACCTTTACTGTCTTGCTTCAGGGGTATGTCACTTTCTGAACATATTTACTTTATGGGAAATTTTGACCAAATCACCATTCCTTGGGCTACCAGGCTAAACTACTGTGACACTGATGACATCATTCTGATGGACCTTGAGAACAGGAAGTAGGAGAGGCCCTAGATGACTTGGTAAGCATGATGTGTGTGCTGGAAGGCAGATAATAATCTCACAAACAGTGGTCTGTCTGCAGGGGTGCCTGGAGGGCATAGTCAGTTAAGTGTTTCAACTCAGGTTGTGATCTCAGGGTCATGAGATCAAGCCCTGCATTGGGCTCTGTGCTGAGTGTGGATTCTACTTGGGATGCTCTCTCCCTTCCTTTGCCCCTCCCGCTCATGCTCACTCTCTCTCTGTCAAATAAATAAATTAAAAAAAACAAATATATGCAGCAGTCTCTCCACTATCTACACTATCCAGGGGTTTGGGATATGTTGAGCTCTTCCTCATAAAATGAAGGACAGGTTGCTGTACATCATACTCCCTATCACTAATAAACAGGTACCATACTTGGGCTTCTTTAGACTTGAATGGTAAAATATGCTGTATTTAATTATTTTTACCTATTACTGCATCACTTGAAAGCTGTCAACTTTATGGGGGACCGTATGAGGAGGGAAGGTTTTCTTATTGGATCAGCTTACAGAGTAAATAGTTCTACCTTTTGTCTTTATACTTAGGCATCGGGTTTTGGAACAAAGTTATACCCTCCTTTGGCAAATTGTTATTCTCCTTTTGAGATGCTCCTGGCTTGCTCCAGGGGTCTGGTGAAATTGGTTGCCTGACCAAGGCATACCAGGTTATCATGTGACCCGAGCTACCATGTTATCCCATCAACGCAGCCATAAAATCAGGGGCGGTCAGCAGCACTCCATTGTTAAGAGGAGTGACGTATGTGGCTTGGGTCCAAGCAAGCCCTGAAGACAGAAGTACAGTAGGCTGCCTGAGCAAGTTGTTTACATTCCTCTCCTGCTTCTGGTATTCATGGTCTCATGGAGAATCATTTATGATGATTTGATGATGAGTTGCCTGAGGAAGAAAAGTTTAAAGCCCAATTTATAGATGGCCCTGCACAGTATGCGACTTCAGCCAGAAGTGGCTTCTGTGGGGTTCCTGCCTGCCTTCAAAAGGGCCTAAGGGACCTAGAAAAGGGAAGTATGCCCAGAAGGCCTGAAGTACGCCCAGAAGGCCTGAAGTACAGACACACTGATTCCTGGGCTTTGGATCATTTAGTCTGTTGGGCAGAGATTTGGAAGGAAACAGACTGAAGGTTAGTGACAGGAAGTTTTGAGGAAGATAAATGTGCATAAAGTGCCCAGAATGGCTTCAGAGCATAAAGTGATTTGTGTCTCAGATGGACATTCACCAAAATGCTCTCACTGTGGGAGAACCTCTTCTACATGGTGGCAGTATGACACCTGTGACCACCAGGCAGTCCCCTTCTGCAGCCACTCAGGGACTTTCTCAGCAGCTTTATGACAAAACTGGCCAGGCAACACCAACTCCTTCCTCCCACAGATGGCCTCACCTCTATCACTGCTGAGTCCAGTCTGTCAACCTCAGGAAACCAGCCTAAGCCCCCAAGGGTGGAACCTTAACTTTGCGAAGACTGGCCAGCTATCTTTTGGCAGAGATGACACTGGACTATGTATTCATTAGGGTGGGCCAACAGCTGTAACAAACAATCCCAACATGTTTGGTGTCTAATACTATAGTAGTATAGTTCTTTTTCACGTCACGTCCCATGCCAGTCCAAGGGGATTTGTTTCATGCAGTCATTCAGGAATCTGGTCCCCTTCTCTCTTGTGACATGTCTTTCATCTGTGTTCTCTCCAATCATCTAGAAGATGGGGAAAAAGATAGAGTGAGGGTTGCATGGTATGTTTTTATGAGCAATACCCAGAAGTGACTATCCATCATTTCCACTCACGTTCTGTGGGTGAGATGTTAGCCACATGGCTCCACCCGACTGTAATCCATCCCTCCACTCCATCCCCTCTCCCCAGGCAACCACTGATCTGCTTTCGGTCTTTACGAATATTTTGCATTTCATGTAGTATGAACTGCCTTGCCTGAGTTCTTTCCCTCAGCATAATTATTTTGTGATTCACGCATGTTGTAGTGTGGACCCATACGCATTCTTTCTTACTGCTGGCTAGTAGTCCATGGTGTGGAAGTACCATAGTTTGACTATCCATTCAACGTTGATGAGCCAACATGACAAACATTTCTCATACGTTAAATAAGCTTGTTATGCTGCTCTAAGAACTGGAAGAAAATTTTTTTAAAGATTTTTTTTAAATTTATTTGACAGACAGAGATCACAAGTAGGTGGAGAGGCAGGCAGAGAGAAAGAGTGGGGAAGCTAGCTCCCTGCTGAGCAGAGAGCCTGATGTGGAGTTCAATCCCAGGACCCTGAGATCATGACCTGAGCCGAAGGCAGAGGCTTTAACCCACTGAGCCACCCAGGTGCCTGAAAATATTTTTAAATCAAGTATACAATATACTGAAATTATATCTTTTGCAACTGTTTATTTATATATATGTTTTTTCTGTGCTAATTTAAAAATGTATGAAGGCAGGGCCAGCTTCATGGACGCACAGCCTGGGCAGTCACTCAGGGTACCACATTCAGAAGGGCTCTGAACCTCAAATGCCCTGCCTTTGTCTTCTGGAAATTCTTTAAGTTTTATTAAGATTTTTATTTTCATTCCAGTATAGGTAATATAACAGCATTATATTAGTTTTGGTGTGCAATACAGTGATTCAACAGTTCTGTCTGTTACTCAGTGCTCATCATGATAAGTTGAACTCTTTAATCCCCTTGACATTCTTCGTAAGGTTTGATCAAGAGGCCTACATTTTCATTTTGGACTGGGTGCTACAATTTATTTAGCTGGTCTTGTGCACGAGGGTGTATACTTTTCCAAACTACTTTTATGGGGGCCTACGGTCACAAGTGTGAAGGCCACTGACCTCATCACCCAGGTCTGTTAAGGGCTT